GAGATCGGAGGGCGCCAACTACAACCGCAGGAGGTCTCTAATGCTGCACCCCCCCCTCCCCCCTCAAAGCTTCTTTGCCGTGCTGGTTTTGGTTAGGTGGTTATTGTCCTGGAGGGTAGCATCCACTGGGCTACCCTACACGATAGAGACATTGCGTGCCTGGTCGTACAAGGCCTGTAGCACGAGTCCGTCTCCTTCCCCATCGAGTTGTTTGTTCGCAGCAGCAGCGAAGCAGCAGCAGTAACAGTAGTAGCAGCAGCAGCAGCAGAAGCAGCAGCAGCAGCAGTAGCAGCAAACGTAGTAGTAGTAGTAGTAGTAGTAGTAGTAGTAGTAGTAGTAGTAGTAGTAGTAGTAGTAGTAGTAGTAGTAGTAGTAGTAGTAGTAGTAGTAGTAGTAGTAGTAGTAGTAGTAGTAGTAGTAGTAGTAGTAGTAGTAGTAGTAGTAGTAGTAGTAGTAGTAGTAGTAGTAGTAGTAGTAGTAGTAGTAGTAGTAGTAGTAGTAGTAGTAGTAGTAGTAGTAGTAGTAGTAGTAGTAGTAGTAGTAGTAGTAGTAGTAGTAGTAGCAGTAGTAGTAGCAGTCGTAGTAGTAGCAGTAAGTAATAGTATCGTCGTCGTCGTTGTAGAGTAGTTGTGGTAGTAGTAGTCGTCGTCGTCGTTGTAGTAGTAGTAGTAGTAGTAGTAGTAGGAGTAGTAGTAGTAGGAGTAGTAGTAGTAGTAGTAGGAGTAGTAGTAGTAGTAGTAGTTAGTAGTAGTAGTAGTCGTAGTCGTAGTCGTAGTCGTAAGAGTAATAGTGTAGTAGTAGTAGTAGTCGTCGTCGTCGTCGTCGTCGTCGTCGTCGTCGTCGTCGTCGTCGTCGTCGTCGTCGTCGTCGTCGTCGTCGTCGTCGTCGTCGTCGTCGTCGTCGTCGTCGTCGTAATAGTAGTAGTAGTTGTAGTAGTAGTAGTAGTAGTAGTAGTAGTAGTAGTAGTAGTAGTAGTAGTAGTAGTAGTAGTAGTAGTAGTAGTAGTGGTAATCGTAGTAGTAATAGTACTAGTAGAAGTAGGGCAAAACGTGGCCTATGTTACCGGATCCTGAGGACCCCCCAGGATTCCTTTGCATTTTTCTGTTGGATTCGGCAGGATTCATTTGCACTCTTTTGTTTTTTTTGGGACTTCCCAAGATTCCACGAGATATCAGTGGATTCCTTCGGATTCGTACATATTCCCAAGGACTTTTCAGGGTGCATCGTGGTTTCTTGGGGCCTGCGACGGTTCCTTAGGATCTCCCAGGGTTCCTGCGTCTCTTGGAGCCATCTTGGACGCTCCAGCCCCTCGCGGAACGCCCCCCTCCAGACCTGCGGGGGGGGGGGTAGGGGGAGAGGGGGGCCCCCCTCTCCGAAGGGGAAGATGATGGTTTAGCAGACGGAGCTCCCCAAAGGGCTTGTGGGACTATTTCTTGTGATCCCCGTCCGTGCTTTGAAAGCCACCCAAGTAGATTGCATCGCCTTGGTATTGAGTCGTTTCGCCTCCAGGCCCACATATTTGAGCCTCACACCAGATGCCCAACAATGTTCTAAACACGGCTGGACGCAGCTTGAAAAATTGGTCATGGTGGGCCTTGCCGAGTCTTTAAGTAGCGACCGAGCCTGGAGGACACGGCCGGCCGAGGTCTCCTAGGGTTTTCCGATGAGGAGGACAGGGTGGATGAGGAGGACGAGGACAGGGTGGATGAGGCTTGGGACGAGGACGGTCGTCGTCGTCGTTGTCGTCGTCGTCGTCGTCGCCACCCTCCAGAGGAATTCGTTACTAATCTATTTGTTTTCAAATGGGAATTCAATCGGAAATGGTCGAGTCCCAGCCGCCAGAGGAATTCCTTAATAATGTATTTGTTTCTGAAGGGAATTCAATAGGAAATGGTCGAGTCCCAGCCTCCAGAGAAATTCCTTAATAATCTATTTGTTTTTGAGTCGGATTTCAATAGGAAATGGTCGAGCCCCAGCCTCCAGAGGAATTCCTTAATAATTCATTTTTTTTGGATAGGAATTCAATCGGAAATTGTCGAACCCCAGCCTCCAGAGGAATTCCTTAATAATCTATTTGTTTTTGAATAGGAATTCAATAGGACATGGTCGAGTCCCAGCCTCCACAGGAATTCCTTAATCATCTTTTTGTTTTTTTAAATACGATTTCAGTAGGATGTGGTCGAGTCCCAGCCTCCAGAGGAATTCCTTAATAATCTATTTGTTTTTTTGAATAGGATGTCAAGAGGAAACATGCTTACTAAGAGTATGTTTTTTGTGTTTTCTCGCCGGCGTCGTTTCCGAACCCGAACCCGAACCCGAGCCCTTACTCTTTTACCGTCCATTCAAACCTGGTAACACAGACTACGTTTAGCCCTAGTAGTAGTAGTAGTAGTAGTAGTAGTAGTAGTAGTAGTAGTAGTAGTCGTAGTAGTGGTAGTGGTAGTGGTAGTAGTAGTAGTAGTAGTAGTAGTAGTAGTAGTAGTAGTAGTAGTAGTAGTAGTAGTAGTAGTAGTAGTAGTCGTAGTCGTAGCGTAGTAGTAGTAGTAGTAGTATATTAGTAGTCGTAGTAGTAGTAGTAGTAGTAGTAGTAGTAGTAGTAGTACGTGGTGGTGGGGTGGTGGTGGTGGTGGGGTGGTGGTGGGTGGTGGTGGTGGTAGTAGTAGTAGTGTAGTTAGTAGTAGTATAGTAGTAGTTTGAGTAGGTAGGAGTAGTAGTAGTAGTAGTAGTAGTAGTAGTAGAGTAGTAGTAGAGTAGTAGTAGAGTAGTAGTAGTAGTTAGTCAGTAGTAGAGCTAGTGCGTAGTAGTAGTAGTAGTAGTAGTAGTCGTAGTAGTAGTAGTAGTTAAGTAGTAGTAGTAGTAGTAGTCGTAGTTAGCGTAGTAGTAGTAGTAGTAGTAGTAGTAGTAGTCGTAGTAGTAGTAGTAGTAGTAGCAGTAGTAGTAGTAGTAGTAGTAGTAGTAGCAGTAGTGATCAGAGTAGTAGTAGTAGTAGTAGTAGTCGTTAGTAGTAGCGTAGCAGTAGTAGTAGTAGGTGTAGTAGTAGTAGTAATAGTAGTAGTAGTAGTAATAGTAGTAGTAGTAGTAGTAGCAGTAATAGTAGTAGTAGTAGTGCTAGTCGTAGTAGTAGTAGTAGTAGTAGTAGTAGTAGTAGTAGTAGTAGTAGTAGTCGTAGTAATTTAGTAGTAGTAGTAGTAGCAGTAGTGGTAGTAGTAGTAGTAGTAGTAGCAGTAGTAGCATAGTAGTAGTAGTAGTAGTAGTCGTAGCAGCAGCAGTAGTAGTAGTGCTAGTCGCCGTAGTAGTAGTAGTAGTAGTAGTAGTTGTAGTTGTAGTCGTAGTCGTAGTGGTAGTCGTCGTCGTTGTCATCATCGTAGTAGTCGTAGTTGTCGTAGTTGTCGTAGTTGTCGTATTAGTACCAGTAGTAGTAGTAGTAGTAGTAGTAGTAGTAGTAGTAGTAGTAGTAGTAGTAGTAGCACTAGTAGTAGTAGTAGTAGTAGTACGGTAGTATTAGTAGTAGTAGTAGTAGTAGTAGTCGTCGTCGTCGTAGTAGTAGTAGTAGTAGTAGTCGTAGCAGCAGTAGTAGTAGTAGCAGTATTAGTGCTAGTCGTCGTAGTAGTAGTAGTAGTAGTAGTAGTTGTTGTTGTTGTTGCAGGGTTACTCCTAACCGTGAATTTATTCTCTTAACCGTGAATTTGTGAATTTTACGTAGTGTCATAGCGTAGTGTTGACATCACGTGGGCATGACACTACGCTGCAATTAGCGTAGTGTCGTAGCGTAGTGTCGTAGCGTAGTGTCGTAGTGTAGTGTCGTAGCGTAGTGTAGTAGCGTAGTGTTGACGTCACGTGGGTACGACACTACGCTACGGTTTGCGTGGTGTCGTAGCGTAGTGTCGACGTCAAGTGGGTACGACACTACGCTACGGTTTGCGTGGTGTCGTAGCGTAGTGTCGACGTCACGTGGGTACGACACTACGCTACGGTTTGCGTGGTGTCGTAGAGTAGTGTCGACGTCACGTGGGTACGACACTACGCTACGGTTTGGGGGTTGCTTTTGGCGCGTGGGTAAGAGTGTTTCGGTTGGCTTTTGTTGGGGTTTGAGAGGCGAGGTTGCGTGAGAGAGGAGCCTGAGATACAGATAGCGTAGTGTCATAGGGTAGTGTTGGGCACACCTGGGCGTGACACTACGCTATGACACTACGCTGCGGTTGACGCGGGAGAAGAGGAAGAGTTTGTGTTTCCGTTTGCGTTTCGTTTGGGGTTGCGAGGCGTTGTTCCGCGAGAGAGGGGGCTACGCTACCGTTAGGGTAGAGTCATAGCGCAGTGTTTGTGGCACCTGGGTGTGACACCACGCTATGACGCTACCCTGCAGTTGACGTGGAAGAACAGTATTTTTAGGTTATGTTTTTTTTTTTTTTTTTCTTTTTTGTGTCTCTGTTGGCTTCTCGTTGGGGTTTGCGAGGCGGTGCTCCGTGTCATAGCGTAGTGTCATAGCGTAGTGTTGGGCACACTTGTGTGCGACACTACGCTATGACACTACCCTGCAGGTGACGAGGGAGAAGAGGAAGGACGAGTTTTTCCGTTGGCTGTTTGTTTGGTTTTGCGAGGCGTCGCTCCAGAGTAGTGTCATAGCGTAGTGTTGGGCACACCTGGGTGCGACACTACCCTACGACACTACCCCACAGTGGACGCGGGAGAAGAGGGAGAGTGTTTCCGTTGGCTTTTGTTGGGGTTTGCGAGGCGCGGTTCCGTGAGAGAGGAGCCTGCGCTACCGATAGCGTAGTGTCACAGGGTAGTGTTGGGCACACCTGGGCGTGACACTACGCTATGACACTACGCTGCGGTTGACGCGGGAGAAGAGGAAGAGTTTGTGTTTCCTTTTGCGTTTCGTTTGGGGTTGCGAGGCGTTGTTCCGCGAGAGAGGAGGCTACGCTACCGTTACGGTAGCGTCATAGCGCAGTGTTTGTGGCACCTGGGTGTGACACCACGCTATGGCGCTACCCTGCAGT